AACTAGTATGTGAAGTACTTTAAGGGTCTGAATTAAGTGATATTCAACTTTCAATGTTGTTTTTGATGATTGGATTGCGTATTCAATTTTTTCTTGCTATCTATTCCAATATCCTTTTGTTTTGAATTGCGATGGAATGAAGCTAAAGTAAATTGTTGCTCATTTCGCACATTTTCTGAACATCAAATATTTCACATTGCCCTAAGACACCTATAAATGCTCCCATAGTGCTACTTTTAAGGCAAGCTGTGACAATTCAAATTCTGTGCTTTAGTTACTGGTAATTTGGAAATATCTGCCAAGTTAAGATCCAAATTTTGCCATCCCATGCATAAATCTACTACAAATGCCTTCATTTCTGTTGTATATAGCTTTAAAAACCCAATTCTTTGTGGCAAATATATTAATTTGATTTGCATACAATTTCAAAAGTCTTCAATTTTCCAAGTCGGTTTAACTTTTTCACCACCAGTTCCCTCTTTTCATCACCAAATAGTCCCCTTTATAGCCTGCACTTTCCTTCAGAAGATTGGGACAAAAATAGCAACATTTTTGTAGTAAAAACTGAAAATTGACTCAAATTTTGTCTGTTGGCTCAAAAATTAAGATTTATTACTAAAAATATTGAAGAATATAAGAACAAAAGTACCAAAAAATTTGTTGGCGTCTGATATTTGTACAAGGCTGTATTTGTCACTAACTACAACCCGTGAACATCTCTGTACATCCTATTAATGATATGTGCAAGGAAAATGTCAAAAAGCTTGTCTTTATGTTACATTCAAACTGTTTCTGTATGCAGATTTTGAGTGCCAACACACAGATTTCAATATTTGTGTGCACATCAACCCACGTCATGTCTGGATATGTGCTAATAAAACCATGCAGTCAAGGGTTTATCAATTATTTAGCCTGATTCCAAATGTGTTTGTAGCTACAATCCACAGATGGTCTCATTCCAACTTTTTTTTTTTAAATAATCATCACTTTCCATTTGGGTGTAACTGCAAGTATTACTATAGAGAAGTCTTTGTACACTAATGATACATTCAGCGGTCGTAATGTCTTACCGCTGGATTCTCAGTTTCTTTTATTAGCTTATCATATATGAATAATGTAGTCAGTCCATCCTAAGGGTTATAATATGAATTATGTAATATGTCATTTACAAGAGTGTGGCTGAGAACATATTGAGATACATTCACTCCATGGTTGGTATGAGATTTAGTTGTGAGCAGGGATATAATAGTATGTTGTCACTGCTTGGCTCATCTGTTTTGTACATCTGTGTTTTTTTTGTTTTTTTGCTTCTGTACATTTTGGGATATTATACTACCATGTCACCCAGTCTGAAAGTCAAAACTTTGTTTTGCTTTTTTATTTTATACAGGTACTTACTGATTTAGTATTAAAGAACAATTATGTTCATATACCCACACTTAAAGTTCAGTCCACAACTGTTCTAAGCCCCGGGGATTCAAAGTAAGAGTAGATGTAGAACTATTGAAATATGGATGTTGTATTCAAAAATAGGGTCCATAAGTACAGTATTGTAAAGATGTTAAACATCAACATGTATTTATCGTTTTTAACATTCTTCATAAACCATCCTGTGATTTGTTGCAATATTTTTAGAATGACTCCCGAATGAATTAAATCATATGCGAGTAGTCATGTTTGTTGACATAGTAGTTGTGAATAGTGTTATATCTGAATTGCTTCCTGAGTTTGTTGCAAGTTGGTGTATCAGCTTTAACTCAATGCCGATTTCATACTGGGTTAGAGAAAATCATGGGGGAATGGTAACTTTATATCAAACACAGTTTTTTTCCTAAAGGCTGCTACGTAATATACTTTCATTTTTCATAACAGTGGGATATGTTCTTCATAATCAGTCCAATGTCAGGTTATAAGCTACAAGGTTAATTTCTGCAAAGCGTCTGTATATATTTATGCAGCTTTTTTGACAGGCGTGCAATGTAAACTCCCTTAGTAAAAATTAGTAAATAAAAAATAAAAATGTTTTGTGTAGACATGTGATTAGTGGAGAGGAACAACATCAGACTTTTCAACTTGGCTATCTATGTATATTTCTTAGTTTTTGGCCATGTGTTTATTGTGAATAGGTGAAATATAAGGCTGCACGCATGGCCTGGGTGATTGATACTGTAGCCAATATTTTTAATTGAATGTCATTATTTATCTTATGTGGAATTAAAATTGAATCCTTACAACAGATTTGTTTTTAACCATCGTCTGACAATTATCTATACTTAGTATACCCCGCTTGATTTATTGATATTTATTTACGATTTATGTCTGTTGAAAGGTGTCTAAATGAGAGACTAGAATGAATGTAAAAACAAAGTATAAAGGAATAAAGGATTTTGTGTTTCATGCCTATTATCTTATTGTCTTTGTTTAGCATGTGAATATAACGAACTTTATTCATCAGCGTAGTCTACATATATGACAATTGACGTACAGTCAGTGCGCCCTCTAAGCCAATATGTAGTGCAGTGACCCACACAAATTTGAATTGACGTAACAGAAAATCATACATGGATGAAGAAAGTTATATTATAGTCACTGAACTTGTATTTGGGGTAAAATGAAATTTTATAGAGGAAATGGAGGGTAACAATGTTTTTGTCAGTGCTTCAAGTCACTTCTACAGTCACAGAATTTTATTTTTCTTACACTGGCATTCTTTGCGTTTAGTGAATCTGTGTGTGTATCTGTGTCTGTCCCACTGATATCTCAAGAACCAATGATCAGATTTTAATGAAAACTACTGACATCTACGTTCTTTCATGGTCCAACCAGATTGACAATCTGGTTCACATTACTTTTCTAGTCTCTAACTTTGTCTAACAGTTTACAGACTCGCTAACCACTATGCCACCTAATGGGTTGAGGAATGCTGATATGATTACTACTCCTATTAGGTTAGACTATTAGTGAGAGGTAATCTGATGTGTATAGATGGAGATCCATATTGCTGTTTATCTCAGCCTGTTTACGTTTCTGTTTGGAGGACCCATGAAACAACAAGGTAACCAGACTGAGTTTATCTAACCCTTCCATCCTACCTATTCACGAAGGCGGAGCTATATCACAGAATGTTATATGACTTAATGTTATAAAACATGTACCATGTATTACTATGGGCTCTGTACGAGCTTCTGTGGAAGACTGGTTGAAGAGTCAGTGAAAACGGCTATAGTCGAGAAAACAACACAAACTCAACTTTGAGGCAATCTGGAACAACCAAATTTATATATGTTGCACATGTAGGGCTAATCTTGTTACACTATTCAGGAGAGTTTCAACAACTATCCCAGTTTTTTGACAGTTTTGATCATTGTTTTTGCCAGGTGGTGGAAATGCCCGGATGTTTGCTCCTGAGATTATGTAGCAATATACCTATATTTTAAACATACCGGTACTGCAACATATCCATGAAGACAGTCAGTGTAATGTGTGGATCCAACACTGTGAATCTGATCAACTATGTCTCAACCATTATTGTGCACATCCCAGTCCTTGTTCTCAGAATAATGGGCCATGTGTTGTCCTTTATTTCAATTAGAAAACCAGTGAAAATGTATCTGAGAAACGGGTAGAATGCATGAAAAAATGTAGGGCCACAAAACAAAATTACCTCAGTAATCCAAAATGTGGGATTTCAATACCAAGTTTGAATGAAATCGGCAGAACCATACCTGGGAAATGATAATAATGACAAGATCAAATGTTGTTTTGGAACATAAATAGCCATTTATGTTCCAAAACAACAGTCAGTCTCTTTAAGGTCACTGAAACATAAAATCCACATGCATACGTATACCATTACAAAATTGGTTGCTGCATGTCAGAGAAATGATGTTAGATGGACACAAGGAGCTACTGGTAGAACAAGAAATGGTCAAGAACACATCAAAATAGAAACAACATGGCCACGAGTCAGCCATTTTGAATCAAAACACACACAAAAATTAAATGGCAACAGTAACCCACCATGGGTGATGTCAATACCAAGTTTGAATAAAATCAGTCCCAGCATGCTTGCATTTTTGGTGTGTTTTGGAACAAAAATGGCAGCCAGTCGATCAAAATTCAACAAAACAAATTGATGTGCATATGTATACCATTATAACTTGTTTTGTTTTGAACAAAAATGGTCGCTGCATGTCAGAGAAATGATGTTGGAAAGACAGAGGAAACTAGAACACAATTCCTCGATATTAGACAACATTCAATAGAAAAAACAAATACACGCATATGTTACGAAATCAAACTCAATTTAATCAAATATATACACAATCAATAAAAAAGACAGAAAATAATTTGATATTTCAAACATGATAGTAAATAGTGAACAAAGTGATAGGAAGATAGGGTGTGGACGGATTAGTAGCTATCAAGCAGCTACACATGACCCCCCAGCATAAGGTTCAATCAAAGGATTCAATACTAATTAATACCGGTAATACTTTTTGTTCACATAAAACTGTGTTGATCAAAAACAACTAAGATATGGTGCAGGAAAGTCAACATCTATCTGCATACTGTCAAGTAGTAATGAGATCTTGTCCAACTTATTCCATAATACTGTTGCAAATGCCCCACAGCTGATTGGTTACTTGATGTCAAGTGCTTACAACTGAATAACATTATACCTCACAGAAAAGATACCCTGGTACAAATTTGAATATGCTACTCTCAGTGTAACAAAGGTGTTTTTATAAACGTTTTTACATTTTAAAATGGCAATTGAATCCAACCAGCCAATCAACAAGCACAGTGTGTAACTATGCCAATTGGAAATCTTCAAATGTTAACAAATTGGCCAATAATAACCTCTTGTTTCAATTTGAATTCATAAATATTTATGAAGATGAAGGGAATGCCTTTGTTGTGCTGAGAGTATTTCATCGCAAAGTACTCTCATTAATGTAAATAAAAAATGGGTGTTGTCATCGGTTTATACATTGCTAGTATAACTTAGTAATTATAGTAACACCATGGCTGTATTTTACTCTGTCATATGACTTAGGCTTGAGGCATACT